CTAATTAGACTGTGAGACCTTCAGGACAAAGCTAGGGACTTGGTCAGCCTGCAAACCACCCCCAAATCGCCCTCAGCCCCTCGTCCAAGCCAGCCATGCCCCTCAGTGGGGACCCCCTACCCTGATGGGTGTGTGGCCGGCCTGCAAATGTCCCTCAGCCCCTCGCCCATGCTGGCCCTGCCTCCCAGCAGAGAGCCCCACCCTAATGGAGTTGTGGCCAGCCTGCAAATGGCCTTCAACCCTTCTCCCAGGCTGGCCATGGCCCTCGGCCACGGCCCCCACCCTGATGGGGGCGGCGTGGCCAGCCTGCCAACTCTCACCCAGGTCGGCCCAACCCCATAAGGGGACCCCCCCAACCCTGATCTGAAAGCCTCTTCAGGGCACAATAGCTGGCCCCTACCCATGCACCAGACCTCTATCTTCTATACTAATAAAAGGGTAATGTGCTAATCAGACCTGGAGACCTTTTAGACATCCTTCCTGACAATGCCATGGTGGTAGGCTGAGGCAGAGATGGTTAGGGGCGATCAGGCCAGGAGGGGAGGGCAGTTGGGGGTGATCAGTTCTTGCTGGGGGGCAATTGGGGGCAAGCAGGCCAGCAGTAGGAAGCAGTTGGGGGCGATCAGGTTGGCAGGGGGCCAATTGGGGGCAAGCAGGTCAGCAGGCAGAGTGGTTAGGGGCGATCTGTCTGGCAGGTGAGCAGTTAGGAGCCAGCAGTCCTGGATTGTGAGAGGGATGTCTAACTGCTGGTTTAGGCCCGATCCAGCAGTCAGACATCCCTGAAGGGTCCCAGAGTGGAGACGGTGCTGGCCAGGCTGAGGGACACCCTCCCCCCTGTGCACGAATTTTGTGTGCTTGGCCACTAGTAGCTCTTAATAAGTTCTTAGTAATTCTTGCTATTTGGGGGGTATGGGTATAATGTCATGTCTCCATCATATGCCATATGACTCTCAAAGAGGGAGTAAATTGTAGTTGTGAATCACGAGGAACAAAAGGTAGGAAAACATTCTCAGCAATGTTCTCTAGGGGGGTCATTGTTGGTTGGCACAGTGACTAGAAAGAGGGTGTTCCTATCATTAGTAAATAGGAGCCAGGGATGTTAAACATGCTGCAGTGGGTAGGGAGTAGGATATAGTCCTGAACATCAAATTGTTTCATCTGAAATGCCAGCAGTGTCCTGTGGAGATACACTTTGAAGGACGCTTTTCTAAGCAGTCTTCATTGTTCAAATTTATTTCACCTGCATTTACCAAGCGTTGCCAAAAATCATAGTTAAAATAGCTTTCCAAATGGCTGGCTGATTATATGGATGTCCGCTTATTTGTTGTTTTTTCCCCTCATCACAATTTGTCCCCTCTATGTCCTCCTCCACGTCCATCCATTTCCTCCCTCCCCTTCCCTGGCAGTCACCAAACTGTTGCTCGTATCCATGAATTCTCTGTTTTTTTCCTTTTTAGCTCAAACCCTGCACACACACCCCCCCCACACACACACACACAACCCTCCCCCACCAGACCTGTCTGCCTGCTCTCTATATATGAGTCTGTCTCTATTTTGCTTGGTAGCTCAGTTCATTAAATTGTACATATGAGTGAAATCATATGGTACTTGTCTTGCTATGACTGGCTTATTTCACTTAGCATAATGTTTTCCATAATGTTTTTCTATGTTGTCACAAAGGGTAAAATTTTCTTCCTTTTTTGTGACAGAATAATGTTTCTTTATATGAATACTAAGGGTCCGTTGAACAAAATTTGTGCACTGGGGAGGGTGTCCCTCAGCCCAGCCTGCATCCTCTCCAATATGGAACCCCTCGGGGGATGTCCAACTGCAGGTTTAGGCCTGATCCCTCGGGCCTAAACCTGCAGTTGAACATCCCTCTCACAATCCGGGACCGCTGGCTCCTAACTGCTCACCTGCCTGTCTGATTGCCCCCAACTACCCTCCCCTGCTGGCCTGATCACCCCCAAGGCTTTTATTAGTAGAGCTGTGACACTTCAAGGAAAATTTTACTAACCTTGCTTTACAATAAGGGCTTGGCAATTGAATCATTAGGACCAGACACCAAGATTTCCTTTCTTTTGCCAAAACCGGTTTTGCTCAGTGGATAGAGTGTCGGTCTGCGGACTGAAAGGTCTCAGGTCTGATTCCAGTCAAGGGCATGCACATTGGTTGCAGGCACATCCCCAGTGTGGGGTATGCAGGAGGCAGCTGATCGATGTCTTTCTCTCATCGATGTTTCTAGCTCTCTCTCTCTCCTCTCCCTTCCTCTCTGTAAAAAAAAAAATCAATAAAATATATTTTAAAAAAAGATTTCCTTCCTTTGAATAGTGGAGGGTATAATTATCTTGTCTTTTTAAGTTGCCCTAAAATGAGATAATGACTTAGAAAAATATAAAAGCACCATATAAAGCAACTATTTTTCATGTACTGGAAAGATAATGAAGTGGTAAAAATGAAAAACACTGTTTTTATTCTCTGCTTCCTTCCTTTACAGCTTTTATTTAAACTTTGGAATTTATAAAAATTTCACTCCAATTTTCATTTCTTTACATTCAATATTATTTTGTATTGGTTTCAGGTTTTATATTAGTTACAGAATAGTGGTTAGACAATCATATACTTTACAAAGTATTCCTTGATATTTCCAGTACTCACCTGGCATCATACCATCATTACAACACTATTTTTTAAATATATTTTTTTGTTTTATTTACAGGGAGAAAGGGAGAGGGATAGAGAGCTAGAAACATCGATGAGAGAGAACCATCAACCAGCTGCCTCCTGCACACCCCCTACTGGGGATGTGCCCACAACCAAAGTACATAGTCCTTGACCAGAATCAAACCTGGGACCTTTCAGCCCGCAGACCGACGCTCTATCCACTGAGCCAAACCGGTTTCGGCCATTACAACACTATTGACTATATTCCCTATTTAAGTGACAATGAGTTTACAGGTTCCTTCCAATCTTTCTTTTGTGTTGCTCATCCTTCCTTTTCTTTCTCACTTCTTCCCTCACTTTCTTTATATAGTATCTCAATTGGCCATCAAAGCTCAGTGAAGGCACTGGGACACGCTTCATCCATTTTACACACCAGAAAACAGGCCAATTCCAGTTGCCTGTGGAACTTGACTCAGCACACAGGAAGCCCTCAGAGCCATGCTCTTTGCCCTTGTTAAGGGGCAAACAGAAGAAACCTTCCCATCAGACTTCCAAGCCTCTTTCTCAAGCACCTCTTCATTGCCAATGCTCCATATTTCCTCTCCCCAATCCCCTGCCCCCATTCTTTACTGCCCCTGCTTCTCCGGAGCAGGTGGAAGGCTTCACACTCACCGCCCAGGCATGCTCTGCCATGGGGCAGGGCACCGCGGGCTTGCTTTTGGGGCATGGTGGGAGCAGGAGTCACCGCCTCTGAAGTGCGAAGGCCACCTGGGCAAGGCCTAGGCCGGTTAGCACTGGGAGCTTCTCTGAATCACATCAGTCAGTCCAGTACCCTGCAGTGCAGCACCCCTCCACTGAGGTGGCACCACCCTTTAACCCCCCCACCCGCCTCAGGGATGAGGGTCCTTGCCCCTCTGCCCAGGAGTCCTTCCATGCCCCTTGATCCCTGGCTAGGCCCACCCGCATCTTGGGGCCACTGCAGAACCTCTGTCTCTCTGCAGGTGAGGCAGATCCCTGCCCTCAGTCTCCTTGAAGCTGTGCATCTGTGGCCAGAGGCCTGGTCTGGGTCTCAGTAACCCCATGTCTGCAATGTTCCCAGGGCACCATGGGCGTGGATAGGCTGGCCCAGCCTCCGCCTTTCTGGGGCAGCGATGTTCCCAGGGTCCCACTGGAGTAGCTAGGCAGGCCTGGCAGTGCCTCCCTGGGGCAGCAATGTTCTGAGGGTCCTGCAGGAAGTGGCTAAGCAGACCATTGCCCCTCCTGGGGCCTGTGATGAACCTGGATCCCTCCAGTGGCGTCTGGCACTGCCCACCCCTCCTTCCTGGGCTGATGGACTGGTACCTTGTGGGCAGTGTCTGGTGCTGCCCGCCAGGTCTCCTCCACCCCCATTGGACTTGTACCCCCAGAAGTGGGCCTGTGTATGCAAATTAACCACCATCTTTGATGGGTTAATTTGTATACCCACTCTGATTGGCTGTGGGCATAGAGGAGGTATGGTTAATTTACATATTTGTCTATTATTAGGTAAGATACCAGAGCTTTTTTTGATCCACTCATCTACTGATGGATATTGTACTTGAATTCCTGCTTATTTGGGTGGTCTCCTAATCTTTCCTTTCTTTCTCTGACACTGAAGTATCATGATGGTGGGAAATGGGAGAGTCATTATCGTCTCTCAAGTTCAAAAAGACTATATACTATTCCATTTTCCATGTGTATAACCATTGTTGGCTACCTAGATTAGAGGTACACATTCCTAGGTTTTTTCCTAACCTGCTCAATAGTAGATTGAAGGACAGGGGGGAACAGATGGATGAATTGAACCAATTATACCCATGATTTAAAGATATACAGTTCAATGATTTGAGAAAAATGTAAAATATGCCAAAATTTTACTAACTCTGTTTTAGGAATGAATTGGATTCCAGTTAAAGTGAAATGTTTTTAACAGTATTTTAGCTCAGGAATTCAGACAAAACTGGGTTTTGGTTTGTGTGCTTCAAAACTAATTTGCTGACTATTGTGTTCCCTGGACAATAGATAATAACTACTTCAGTTATTATCTAAAGTCTGTTTGGAGCTTAATCCTTTATTTCTCTGGAATTTACTAATAGAGTGATTGCTGAGGCTGTTCTATGAATTGATCTTAATGGTTCCTTATAGGGCTGTGCAGTTTTATGGTTAATCACTGTGGTTTAAAAAAGTGAATTATACATTGAAACACAGATCATTTTCTGAAATATCTAACAATCTTTGCTATATTTATTCAGCTTTAGATTGGAAATTGTGAGAAATTTTGCTAACATGTATCTGATTTTCATGTTTTCTTATTACAGAGAGACAACTTTCAGTGGATCCATGCAGTCTGTGTCTGAACTAATTAACTATGTAGGGTGGCTGTCCATTAATGGATTGCGCTTGGAAAGCAATAGTACTTTCTTGCTGCACTTTGTTTTGGATTTCTATGAAAAGGTGGTACACATCCCATTTACCCTATTTAGATTTTTGTGATGGCTTTCTGCTTTACTCATCTGTTATTTCAATTTTATTTATAATCATTAAGTTGCATAGTTAAATAAGCTACATATTTTAAAGTTAGTGATTATATTCTCACATGAATAAGTGACTTTCATAAAACAAAATGGAAAAACAAATGCTCTTTTTAAAAATTCCAAGTACCACTTTAATAGACATTCTCCTGAATAATGCTGGCCTTAGACAGAAGTTTGTCTCTAGCATCACTTTTTGCTCATCCTTTATAAGTCTCAGCCCTTGGGAAAAAGTTGAAAGTACCTTCTTGTTTCTTCAGTTCTTTGCTTCCATCTTTCAACAGCTTTATTTCTCCCAGCACCTATGATTCTGGTGCTCTTGTATTGTTTATTTCGTCTGGACAGCACTATTATTCAGGATTAGTCATTAATCTGTTTTCCTGGCTTCTTCCCTTTCCCAATACCTACTTGTCTTGTATTAAATTTGCTTAGAAGTATATTCCTCTGTTTTCTTTTTTTTTTTAATATATTCTATTGATTCTTTACAGAGAGGAGGAGAGAGGGATAGAGAGCTAGAAACGTCGATGAGAGAGAAACATCGACCAGCTGCCTCTTGCACACTCCCTACCGGGGATGTGCCCGCAACCAAGGTACATGCCCTTGACCGGAATCGAACCCGGGACCTTTCAGTCCGCAGACCGACGCTCTACCACTGAGCCAAACCGGTTTCGGCTATATTCCTCTGTTTTCTAGGTTGACAGCTAGCTAATAGAATAAGTCAGTATTCATGGAACTTAAGGAGAAAGAAATGCTCCCTTTCTCACCAACTCTGAGATCTGTCCCCAGAAAAAGAGAAAGATTTTAATGATCTTCTGAATATAATCCTCTATGATAATGGCCAATGTTTGGTGAGGTACATTTTTAAGCAGGCTTGTGACTACCTATTTGATGAATTAGGAATGCCCCAACTTGATGGTATACTAGTAGTATTGCTTATTCTCTACTGATGATTCTTTGGATGAACTTGTTGAGGGTTCTGGGAATAATCTATATACTGATGTTATATTCTCTCCAAAAGGTGTGTGACATATATATGAATTATAACCTTCCATTAGTGGTGTTGTTTCCTCCTGGGATCTTCTATATTGCACTCCTCAGTCTGGATTCCAGTATCCTGAACCAGCTCTGTTACATTATGCACAGGTACAAGGCCTATTTACCATTTTATGAATTAGTACATTATACTTTTTATCTTCATTTTTCAACTATACAATAAGTTATACTTAATTAATACGCTATAATAAATTTATGTATAATTTATAAAATATGAAAACAATAAAATTATTATCCATTTTATGCCAGGGCCCATGAAATAGGAAACATGGCTTTCTTTTGGAAATGACCTTGTGGTATGAGGCTATTTTAATTGTGTGTTTTATTTAAATGTTACTGGGGGATATAGATTCTAAAAATTTATGGTAACAGATATTTTATGCAATGGTATTGCTGCACTCAGCATTGTTAATTCTTATTGCTGTGGCTTAGAGAAAAAGTAGTTATTTGCTAACAACTGGTTTAGTTTTACATAGCTTCTCTGGTGAAAAGAACATTTTCTGGTTGATTAGGGGATGTGTTGCCAGTTATATGAAACTGTAAGTATTATTTCTGATCCCCTCTCATTCTTTCACTTGTAGACTGAAGTTTCTCTTTTTAATCCTTAAGTATAGACTCTTGGTATAACTTGCAGGACTATGCCAAGGTTAAAATGTGTAAAAACTAACTAGAGAATAGTTCTCAGGCTCAAAGGAAAAGATTAAATTTTAAGTGCCCCTTTATCTGTACCTTTTTTCCACATAAATAAAATAGGTTCTGTATTAGTAACTGACTGCTTTTGACTCTGTAAATTTTTTTTAATATATTTTTTATTGATTTTTTACAGAGAGGAAGAGAGAGGGATAGAGAGTTAGAAACATCGATGAGAGAATCATCGATCAGCTGCCTCTTGCACAACCCCTACTGGGGATGTGCCCGCAACCAAGGTACATGCCCTTGACCTGAATCGAAACCGGGAACCTTCAGTCCGCAGGCCGACACTCTATCCATTGAGCCAATCTGGTTTCAGCGAGTCTCTGTTAACTTTTAATAGTGAAACATTAAAAGCATTTTGTTTATTTTTTTCTTTTGATTGAAGTATAATTTACATACAAAGTGCATATATTAAATGCATAACTCAATATATGAGCCTCTGATGATTTTAATTATTTAAGGAGAATGTACCATAAAGGGTTTAAAACCTTAACTATACAGCTGAATATTTGTGTATGTGCATATCTGCATATCTAAAATGTATACTTTTTGCCCCACTGGCGTGATGTAGTGGTTAAGCTTCGACCTATGAACTAGGAGGTTCAATTACTGGTCAGGGCACATTCCCAGGTTGTGGGCTCCATCCCCCAGTGCAGGGTATGCTAAGGCAGCCAATTGATGATTCTCTCTCATCATTAATGGCTCTCTCTCTCCCACTCTCTTCCTCTCTGAAATTAATAAAAATATATATTTAAAGAGATTTTTTAATATGTACACTTGTATGTTTAAATTTCAAAGGCATTTAAAGTTAAGCATTTCATTCCATTTGTTCATCCTTTTAGATACCGTAATAATTTGACAGCTGCAAAGAAAAATGAGTTGATACTAAAGGTATGGATGATAAACCTCTGTTAAGTCACCATTGTTTAAAAATTGAGTGTAGATATATATGATTTGATGGGAATAACAAGGGAAGGGAGAATAGGTGATGATGACACTTTTCTTTTCTTTCCCAATAGAAAAAATCAGAGTTCATATTCAGCAGCAAGACCTGTCAAGAATATAATCGCTATTTGACAGCCATGGTTGGGTGCCTGTGGACATCCAAACCCTTCCAGAAAGGATCATATTTTGATCCTGAAGTCTTTAAAGTAATTGGAATAGCAAAGTATAAAACCAGTTTAAATTTAGTCCATCACCCTGCTCTATTGAGTTATGCTATTTCCTTTTTGCTAAAGGTAAGAATAGTTAAAAGATTTAAAAATTTTATCAAGGAATATCTTGATGGCAGAAATAGAAAATGGCATAAATTTATTGTGTTGGAATTGCAAAATATGTTTATTCTTTTTTTGAATACCAGTTAAATTTTTGACATTGTAATAAGCTCTGTAGATCAGTTTGTTATAGTATTGCCATCTTAACTATGTTATATCTTCTAATTTATGAACATATTATGTTTTTCCATTTATTTAGGACCTGCTTAGTTTTCTTTATAGTTTTCAATTTGTGCTTTACCTTTTGTTGAATTCCTGAGTATATTATTTTTGATGTTATTGTAAATGGAATTGTTTTATTAATTTCATTTTCAATTGCTTATTGCTGCTATATAGAAATGCAATTGACTTGTGAATATTGATCTTATCTCCTGAAACTTTGTTGAACTCATTTATTAGTTATTATAGCTTTTAATTGGATTCTTTAGGGTTTCTGCAAACAGATAATTTTATTACCTCCTTTAAAATTCGGATGCCATTTTTTTTCTTGCCTAATTGCATTTCTTACAGCCTTGGGAACAATTAATATTGAAGAAAAGTGGCAAGAATGGATATGTTTATTTTTTTCTTCATCATGGGAAAAAGTTTTTTGCCAATATGATGTTAGGGATTTCCATGGATGCCCTTCATGAGGTTACCCTTTCAGTTTTAGTTTGTTGAATGTTTTTATCATGAAAGGGGTGTTGGATTTTGTGAAAGGCTTTTTCTACTTCTACAAACATATGAGGTTTTGCCTTCTGTTCTGTTGGCATGGTATATTACAGTAATTGATGTTCAGATATTTAACCAACCCTACATTCCTGGGATAAATCTCACTGGATTATGGAGAACAATCCCTTTACTTGTTGCCAGATTTGGTTTCGTAGTACTTTGTGGAGAATCAGGGATATTGATTTTCCTTGTGATGTCTTTGTCTGGACACTTTTATGAAGAAACAAACACCCTCACTTTCTTTTTTTAAAATATATTTTATTGACTTTTTACAGAGAGGAAGAGAGGGATAGAAAGTTACAAACATCGATGAGAGAGCAACATCGATCAGCTGCCTCTTGCACACCCCCTACAGGGGATGTGCCCACAACCAAGGTACATGCCCTTGACCTGAATCAAATCTAGGACCTTTCAGTCCAGAGGCTGACACTCTATCCACTGAGCCAAACCCGTTTTGGCCACCCTCAGTTTCTTGAATATTCTTCTAGAAAGTATTATATATTTCTTTGTAAATTATATTTTTCAACACTATGCACTATACTTTTCTGCCTCTTGATTTTTTAAAATATATATTTATTGTTCAGATTATTACAGTTGTTCCTCTTTGCACCCCCCATAGCTCCCCTCCACTGGTTCCCATCCTCCCCTCTGCCATAAACCCCCTCCCCAATTGTCCTCATCCATAGGTGTACGATTTTTGTCCAGTCTCTTCCTGCACCCCCACACTCCTTTCTTCCCTAGAATTGTCAGTCCACTCCCTTTCTATGCCTCTGATTCTATTATATTCACCAGATTTAATTGTTTATCAGACTTTTTATTCACTTGATTTTTAGATTCACTTGTTGATAGATATGTATTTGTTGTCATTTTGTTGTTCATAATTTTTATTTTTACCTTTTTCTTCTTCTTCCTCTTCTTAAAGAATACCTTTCAGCTGAAACCGGTTTGGCTCAGTGGTTGAGCGTCGGTCTGCGGACTGAAAGGTCCCAGGTTCGATTCCGGTCAAGGGCATGTACATTGGCTGTGGGCACATCCCTGGTAGGGGGTGTGCAAGAGGCAGCTGGTCGATGTTTCTCTCTCATCGACATTTCTAGCTCTCTATCTCTCTCCCTTCCTCTCTGTAAAAAATCAATAAAATATTTAAAAAAAGAATACCTTTCAGCATTTCATATAATTCTGGTTTGGTGGTTTTGAACTCCTTTAGCTTTTTCTTATCTGTGAAGCTTTTTATCTGACCTTCAATTCTGAATGATAACTTTGCTGGGTAGAGTAATCTTGATTGTAGATTCTTGCTATTCATCATTTTGAATATTTCTTGCCATTCCCTTCTGGCCTGCATAGTTTCTGTTGAGAAATCTGACAATCCTATGATTACTCCCTTGTATGTAACAGTTTTTCTCTTGCTGCTTTTAATATTCTCTCGTCTTTTGCTCTTGGAATTTTAATTATGATGTGTCTTGGTATGGTCCTCTTTGGATTCGTTTTGTTTTGGGTTCTGTGTGCTTCCTGAACTTGTAAGTCTACTTCTTTCATCAGGTAGAGGAAGCTTTCTATCATTATTTCTTCAAATAGGTTTTCAATATCTCACTCTCTCTCTTCTTCTGGTACCCCCATAATTCAGAAGTTGGTATGCTTGAAGTTGTCCCAGAGGGTCCTTACACTGTCTTCATATTTTTGGATTCTTTTTTCTTTTTGCTTTTCTGGTTGGGTGTTTTTTGCTTCTTCGTATTTCAAATCTTTGAATTGATTCTTGCGATTCTGTAGTATACTGTTGGATCTCTGTATATTATTCTTTATTTCAGTCAGTGTATGCTTAATTTCTAGTTGGTCCTTTTTCATATCCTCGAGGGTCTTACTAAATTTATTGGCTGTTTCTAGAAGATTCTTGAAAAACCTTATAACCCTGGTTTTGAACTCTATATCCAATTGTTTGTTTTTCTCCATTTCTGTCATTTGTGACCTGTTTTTTTGTCTCTGCATTTTGGCTGCTTCCCTGTGATGATATAGTGGCTTTATGTACGATGTGTCCTATAGAGCCCAGTGGCTCAGCCTCCCTAATTACCTGAGATGGACACTCTTGGTGCACCGCTTTGTGGGCTGTGTGCACAGTTTTGTTATAGTTAAGCCTTGATTGTTATCACTGGAAGGAATTGATCTCCAGGCCAACTGGCTGTGAGGATCAGCTGTATCTATAATGAGAGAACTTCTGTGCTGGAGACACCCTTATGAGGCAAGACATGCTTCAGTGGGGCTTTGGTGCTCACTGAGTCTGCCCCCTGAGTGTGTCCCTCATGGTTCTGAAGAGTTGTAATATGGATGGTTCCACTCTGACCACTGGGTATACTGGCCCTTGGATCTCTAATGAGGTGCAAATTTAGCCTTTGCCTGAGGCCACCCAGCAGGAGCTATGGAGAGATCTGCAGATTCCTTTTCTTTGTTTGGGGTTTGGAGGTGCCCAGATGAGGCCCAACTATGAAGCATTTCAACCAGCTGTGGGGCCTTGGGCCTTCTTTTGGAAATTCTAGGTCTCTCTGACCCAGCTATAGTTTGTTAAGTAATTTTAGATTTAAAGGGCAGGCTATTCATATGCAAAAGCCTCTACGCATAGCTTGGGTGGGGCAGGATCTCAGGGAATCAACAGCTATGGATGATCCTCAGCCCTGTCCTAAGAGGCCCCCCAGGTCTCAATATCCCTCGGTATTCACTGTAAGTACCTCTAAGAGAAAGCCGCCCTTGAGTTCTAGCCGATGCCAGAAGGTCCATTTTCTCCCCATATGACTCTGGTTCTCCAGAGTCTCACCCAGAACTGGAGTTCAGAGCAGTTGAGAGCTTGTGTCTCCCTCCTGATTGAGAAAGACAACTGCATCCTCAGTTGCCAGCCCTTTCCCTATGCACACCTCCATACCTCTGCACTTTACTTCCGCACCTCCTCTGAGTCTCAGAGTGCTTTTCTCTTTCCTTCTAGTTATAGAATTTCCACTCAGCCAGCCCTCCTGTTGTTCTGGATGATGTCCGTTTTGTCTTTTAGTTATAGTTTTGAAGTGATTGTGCGAGGAAGCAATTTCAGGTGTTTATCCTATGCTGCCATCTTGCTTTCTCTCTCCTGCCTCTTGATTTTTTTATTTAGTATCTTGGCTTTTGTTTCATATTTGTACATAAAGGGCTTCCTCATTCTTTGTGATGTCTCTGTAGTATTTCATTGTATGGATCTAACATAAGTTAAACATGTAACTTAAAAGTTGAGCATTTAAGTTGTTTCTTAACCTTTATATTAAATTACTAGAGGTTCAGTGCATGAAATTCATGCATGGGGGGGTGTCCCTCAGCCCAGCCTGAACCCTCTCCAATCTGGGACCCCTCGATGGATGTCCGACTGCCCGTAAAATGGGTAGTTATATATCCCTCTCACAATCCAGAACTGCTGGCTCCCAACTGCTTGTCTGCCTCCTTCCTGATTGCCCCTAACTGCTTCTGCCTGCCAGCCTGATCACCCCCTAACCACTCCCTGCTAGCCTGATTGATGCCTAACTGCTCTCCTGCCAGCTTGATTGCCCCTAACTGCCCTCCCCTGAAGGTCTGGTCACCTCTAACTGCCTTTCCTTACAGGCCTGGCTTCCCCCCCCCCCCCCAACTGCTCTCCCCTGCAGGCCTTGGTCCTTCCCAACAGCCCTTCCCTGCAGGCTGGGTCACCCCCAACTTCCCTCCCTTGTAGGCCTGGTCCCTCCCAACTGCCCTTTCCTGCTGACCATCTTATGGTGGCCATTTTTTGTCCACATGGGGGCAGGATCTTTTACCACATGGGGACAGCCATCTTGTGTGTTGGAGTGATGGTCAATCTGCATATTACTCTTTTATTAGATAGAATAGAGGCCTGGTGCATGGGTGGGAACCAGTCGGTTTTTCCTGAATGATGTCCCGGATAAGGATGTCCCTTGGAGCATAGGGTGGCCTGGGCAAGGGGCCTGTGGCAGTTTGAAGGCTGGCCATTCCCCACCCGGCGACCCAAGCAGAGGCCCTCATATCTGGGGTTTATTTATCTTCTGTAATTGAAACTTTGTAACCTGGAACTGAGCCAAGACTCCTGCTTGCTCTGTGGCAGCGGCCATATCTGTTGGGATTTATGTATCTTCTCTAATTGAAACTTTGAAGCCTTAAGTAGAGCCTCTGCGGGCCAGGGTGTGTGGAAAGCTTGGCTTCCTCCATCACTGCGGGCAACCCTAGCCTCCTGCTCTTTTCAGTTCTGTGGCTGCCGC